GCAGCTATATTCCTACGCCCGCCTCCAAGGAGGTATAAGTCCCACGCGAAGACTAAGGCGAAGGCGCGGATAATGTCGCTCGTTCGTCAGGCGGCGGCCGACACAAATGATCTCAGGACTCCATTGCACGGTTTGCATCTCATACTGGCTTTGCCCGAAGCCTGTTCGGCAGTGCCCTTAAGGCTCTCGGATGAATGGCAAGGCGCGCTTTGTTGCGCATTAATTGGGAATCAACCCACGTCCTCCGGCTACCGTAGTCCTTTGGCCTCAACCGCCTCGGTGGCAGCGGAGAGTGACGAGGAGTCTCCCTGGCCCATGGCAAAACTCGAGCACACTCTGTTCGACGAATGGATAACTTCGCCAGAGGCGAAGGATATTCCATGTGAGGTTGCCCAGGTGTTGCACGAGTATCGAGCGGTTTTTCCCGATACCTTACCTAAAGGATTACCGCCGAAGCGCCCTCATGATCACCATATTCTCCTTGTGCCTGGAAAACTCCCAGCGAGATCTGCAATATACCGTATGACCCCAGATCAGCTCACATTCCACAAACAGGAGCTAGCTAAATTATCGGACAATGGTAGGATCGGCCCGACCTATTCGCCTATTTGCTCTCCTACAATCATGGTGGACAAACGTGATGATGACTCCGGGGAGCGGAAGATGCGTATGGTAGTTAATTACCAGGCTCTGAATGCCCTTACAGTAGCTCCTGATTTTCCATTACCTCCCATTCAAACCACTCTGGAGATGCTGGGAGGCGCCAAGTATTTTTCCACCTTGGACCTTGAAGCAGGATTCCATCAAATACGTATGGCTAAGGAAGACCGATGGAAGACGGCTTTTCGTTCCGTTCTAGGGATATCGAGTCATGCCGTTTGGCCTTAAGGGTGCTCTAGCTACGTTCCAGGCCAAAGTTAATGCCTATTTACAGCCTTTATTAGGACAGGGTGTTATTGCATACCTAGATGATATACTTATTTATTGTTCCGACCTCTCTGGACACGTTTCCCTCCTGCGATAAGTTCTCAGTGCTTTTCTGCAGAATCAATTCTACCAAAAATTCCGCAAGTGCAAGTTCTCTAGGCAAGCAATCACATATATGGGTTATACCATCACTGCCGAAGGCATCAAACCTGCTGAAGACAAAATCGAAGCTATCCGGCACTGGCCAGAGCTGCTGGAAAATGAAACGCAAGTGCGGCAGTTCCTCGGCACCATAAATTACTGTCGCACGACAGTACCTGATTATGCCGACGTTGCGCGGCCTCTGGTTTATCTTACACGTAAAGACGTTAGTTTCAAATGGACAGAACTTCACACAAAGGCTGTATAGCAGCTTAAACAGCACTTGATCGATTTCACTACATTACAAGTTCCTGACACAACGAAACCTTTCGAGTTATACACGGATGCCTCTGGTTATGCGATCGGAGCGGTTCTAGAACAAGAAGGCAAGCCCATCGGTTTCCTCAGCAAAGTTATGAACCCCACACAACAGAAATACTCAATCTACGATCAGGAAATCCTAGCGTTGGTCACGGCCCTGGACAAGTGGTCTCATTCACTCCGTGTCGCAAAAGTTACAGCTCATACAGATCACCAAGCTCTTACGCATCTCCAGCAACTCCAAGCATCGAAGCCTCTGCGCGGATGCACCACCCGGTGGCTAGATTTCCTGGCCCAGTTCCCGGATTTACAGATCACTTATGTTCAAGGAGCGCGAAATCAGGTGGCTGATGCCTTGTCTCGCCTTCCGGGTCTCTCTAACACCTGCTCGCAGGACACACTAACGACTCCGTTTATGCTTGTAGTAGAACAAACGCGTGCGGCTCCTCGCTCTCGCGGTCGGCCGGCCAACTACAGGGAGCTCGCCGGCATTCGTTCCCGACGATCCAGACAACGCACCTTGCCATCAACACTTTCAACCCCTCCGCCTGAGCCCAATCCAGAGGCGGAACATCCTACACCTGCAACGAAGACACGAGCTGACCCTCCTGAAGCGCCTGAATGGCCGCATGCTTACTCGAACTGTCCTGTTTTCCGCGCTCCCTACGAAGTCGCTGTAAAACAACCAGGAGACGCTATACAGATAGAGTTTCGCAATCGTCACGTCACCTTTCGCTATGTGCCATCTTACTTGCACAATTGTATCCATGGACTACGGCGAATGTGTGTTCCACAGTTCCCTGAGTTCCTTATGCATATCTTGCACTCACATCAAGACCATGTGACAGCCGGCCATCGAGCCCAAAAGAAGACCCTCACGGCTCTGCGCAAGCACTACTACTGGCCAGGGATGCGTGCTTACAGTACTGTGTATGTGTATCCTGTACTCACTGTTGTGCGACTAAGTCTCCGAGCCAGAAACCTGCAGGCCTTCTCCAACAACTATTCATTCCTTTTGCATCGATGGGCACACGTGAGCCTCGATTTTATCACGAATCTTCCCCTTACGACGACAGGGCACGACTCGATTCTCGTGATGGTCGACTCTCTGAGCAAGGTGGCTCATTTCGTTCCTGCGAAGAAGTCATTCACAGCAGCAGACACCGTGGAGCTTCTCGCAGACCGTCTTATCCGCTACCACGGATTTCCAGAGGTAGTCATATCGGACCGCGACTCCCGCTTCCAGTCGAACCTCTGGCAACAACTATGTCACCGCTCCGCCAAGTCCTCTTCCTACCATGCGCAAAGCGACGGTCAAACAGAAAGGGTTAACCGCACACTGGAGCAGATGCTTCGTACCTACATCCAGTCTGACGAACGCGAGTGGGAGCGTTTGCTTCCGGCCCTGGAACTTGCCTACAACACGACAAGCTATTCATCCACCGAGCTCTCTTTGTATCACACTGCGTTCTCTGCAGCGTCTACGATGCTGCAATGCCCACAACTCGGGTGTTCTAAGAAATATTCTCAACTACTGACGCATCGGTCTCGTAACGTCTACAAATGTATTAAAAAGACCGCTTTTGTTTCGAGTTCCCAAACCCATATTTTCTTAAAAGTCGCTTCTTCTTGTTCTTGCTGTTCTGGTTCGGTGAGGATGTGACGCGTACCTGTGCCGGCGTTGTCGGCAGCCTTAATCTTAGAGCATTCGCAGGCATTTCTAGTCTATACACGTTAATCTGTTAATAAATTGCATCTGTATTTCACTAGTAAGACGTCACGGCGCTCAATCCGCGTCTCAACCTCTGAAGCGCCTGTAGGTCATTAGTTAGCTATCCTCTATAGGTCATTAGCAAGCCCCATTGTAGTGCCGGCGCACTACCCTCTTCCTTCGAGGTGATCGGCGAGAATGCGCTGACTACTGCGAATCTTGATATCGCAGGCGCGTTAGCCACCACGCTCACTCCTCCGATGACTAAGCTCTTCCGGCAGCTCTGCGACAGGGCGCAGAGCCACATACAGAAGGCAAAATGGGAGCAGAAATACTACGCAGACAAAAAGCGCCGAGCTGTGGAGTATGCAGTGGGCGACAAGGTTTGGCTCAGCAGCAAGCATCTACTGGCTTCATCTAGCTGCCCTGAGTTCGAACCCCGTTACCGAGGACCCTTTGAAATCGTTGAACGAGTAGGCGCCGTCGCTTACCGCCTCGCTTTACCTCCTACTTGTAAATGCCACAACGTTTTTCATGTTTCGCAGTTAGTTCCCCACCTCCCCGGCCCTCCAGACTTGGTTCCCCAGGAAGCCGATACCGTCTGGCCCCCTATCCGCGATGCGGCAGGCAATCCGACAGAGGAGTATGATGTCGTTTATATTATGGACCGACGCGGCTCAGGCGCCGACGCCCAGTACCTCGTCAAGTGGCGCGGCACCACCGAAGATCAAGCCACGTGGGAGCCCGCTAACCACCTAACAGGATGTCAGGCTTTGCTCCGTGCTTGGCACTGCCGTCAGAGAAGACGTCTTCAGGATCGAAAAAATCTTGCTCCTTCCGAGGCCTAGCGGTTTGGGTCCGTCAACTGCCGCCACAGGACGGTTTTCAATGATGAGGGGTGGGAGGAAGCGCTGCGCACCGTATGCGCTCATGGCATTAGTTTCAGAAGGGAAAGATACTCAAAAGGCAGAAATAATGTGTTCCGGGTAGGCCCGTTCAGTCCGGAAAGGGGGGAAGTTGTACTGCGCAGGCACTACAATAGGGCTTGCTGGTAACCTATAGAGGATAGCTAACTGATGACGTATAAGCGGTTAAGAGGTTGAGACGCGGACTAAGTGCCGCAACTTCTTTCTAGTAAAGTAGAACAGCAATTTATTAGCAAAATACCACGTATAAACTAGAATTGTTTACGAATACCCTAAGATTGGGGCTGCCGACAACGCCGGTACCGGTGCGGGTCACCTCCTCACCGCGCCAAGAAAGCAAGAACCATGATGAGCGACTTTTGTGAAATGCGGTTTTGGAAAATTGAAACAAAGCGGTATTTTTAATGAATTGGTAGACGTTACACGACAGATGTGTCGGTAGTAGAGAGGATTTCATAGAATGCCCAAGTTGTGGGCCAGGTTGCTACCTGTAGTCGCTGTAGAAAACGCGGTGTACTGCACTGTGCCTCTGTCGACTTTATTCATTCATCCAATAGTGTGTGCTCTAGATTTGCCGTAGACCAGAGAGACTCCTCCTCATCACTCACTGCGGTCGAGGCGGCAGATACCAGAGAACTTTCCCACCCGGAGGATGCCGGTCAATTTCCGATCAACGGGCACCATAGGGCGCCTTCCCATTCGTCCAACAACTTCAGTGCCACAGACAAACTAGCTTCTGGCGAAGCCAGTATGAGGTACAAACCGTGCAGTGGTGCCCTGTGAATCTTTGTGTCAGCATTCCCTTGACGAACGACCAACGCTATCCGAGCCTTCGCCTTTGTCTTGGCATGCGACTTATATCTTTTGGGTGGTAGGCGTAAGAATAGGGCATCCTCTTCCGCTGAAATACCCGCCACTTGATCGGTCTATATCTCGTGCACTTGCTCAGCAGGGGTCCTTGAGTGTACTACGTTAGGGCTGTCTCCCTGCAGCTTTTCTTCACCAGTCTTGACGGCCGGTAGTTCGAGCCAGTTGCCGTTCACATAGCTTCTCAGCTTCTCTGATTGGAAACATCAGGACACCTTGTGTTCAGTCAGCCAATCCAACACCAGTACTAAGTCATAAGGAACGGGCCCCACGAAGGAGTCTCCCGAGAAGCGTGCATGTCTGGACCACATCGTCAACCCCGTCACGGCAAGATCAACGCTCAGTTGCCCGCCGGTAGCGACTGTGAACCTGCCCTTCTGGACGTCCCCGCACCTTGAGCTGGAGCCGTTCGGCTGTTTTAGGACTAGTGAAACTTATTGAGGGGCTTGCATCCAAGAACGTCTCACATGGACCCCCTGCCACCTCAACTTGGAGTACCGCGTCCGCACCTACATAACACAGTGCTCCCCCGTGGTTATAAGTCGCCTTCGCACAAGTGTCCCGCCACCACTACGGCACAGTCTCTGTTGAGCCTTCTTCTGGTTCCTCTGTAGGCTTCCCGCTGCTGTCCGTCTTCTCGCACGGAGTGTCTTCCCTCGGGATCGGTGCAGGCACGAACTCGCACCGCGTTTCCGATGGCAGCTGAGCTCTTTGCGCTTCCTCACCTCTTGTATTAGCTCTACCCTCCGTGTTGAGTAGTTTTGCACGTTCGTCTCCAACCACGCATGAAGCCTGTCCTTTAAACGTCCTTTCCTCTCCGCGCTGGGGCGGGTGGGCCGTTTACTGGTCTTGCCCTCTGTCTCACTCCTGCGTCAGTCTTATGTAGGGTAGTCCCGAGCATAATGTCGCACACTTCTACACTTTTTACAGGTCTCCCCCCAACGCTTGGTACGTTCTCTCATGCTGGGACAAACGCGTGCCGGGTTTCCTCGATCCTGATACTCATAGCAGTTCCCTGGTTTTCTCCCAGACCGATTTTCGCTCTTCTGGTTTTTGCTGAGTCCATTTGCCTGGACAGGCGCTCTGATGGCTTGAAAGGTCCTTTCGCGCAGCTCTAGCGCTGTCTGCTTAGGCACGTAGAGTCGCACTGCGGCTGTCGTCTCTCGCTCCCAGGAGGATTACTTCACGTGCCCATTACTGGTTATGAGAAGATGAAGGTTTGGTGGCGGCGCTGTGCAAAAATGCTGAGTGAGTTCTTCGGGGATGAGCCCCACACCACGCTCCGCTACAACTGCAAAGTAGTCCATGTACTCCTTAGGGTTGCCTGTCCACCGTACCGTAGCCGAGTCCGTCAACAATTGAGTCTGTGATATTGCTTTGTCCAACTGTTCCAAAAGCCTGCGCTGTGCCGCCTCCCAGTCACTTAGATCGGCATTCCGCCGCAGATACATCCAATAAATCAGGGCCGGGCCCACAATGTGGTCAATATGCGTGCTGCCCCAGTTACGGGGATCTTATCCCATCTGTGTGTACCGTCGTTCAATGCGCAGCACAAATGCCTGCATAGTGCTGCCGTCTTTTGGAAGAGTCGGGAACTTTGCATCCGATGCCCAGGGCCACCCCAGAGCATTCTTCATCATAGCCATCGCGGAGTGGAGTTGGTTCCACATAACACATGGACTGTTCCCTCGCAGGCCGCCAACACTGTGTACAGCGGCCACCTGCGAAGGCGTCTTTCTTACGCCCATGAGGCCGCTATGCTACGTTGGGTTTCGGAGTAGCATGACGATGTTGGGCCGGTGGCCCGCTGGGCATTCTACTTGAGGAGATTGCAGACGCCTCCTGTTAAGTTGGACCGATAGCGTGCCCGTTGCGCAGGTGCATCCCTTACTGATCTAAGCTGTCTAGGTATGAATCATTACGGCAAATATTGTAGGTGTTACTACTCTTAGGTCCGGAAAAGAAAAGAATTATATCCCGGAACAGCCCCCCAATGTAGTGCACAGAGTTCTCCGCTGCTACTACGTTACTACATGGCCCACGAATAGTGCGCCCGCGTGACAAATCCTGTATATTCGACTCATATCTCACAAAACAATACCAAATAATCAACCAACTGCCATCCTTCGAATTTGTCAATCGAGCTTTCTTTAAAAATCCCCAATCGTAGTTCTTGCTTCCTTGGCCCGGTTGGGACAATGCTCCGCACCGGTGCCGGCGTTATCGCCAGGCCCAATCTCCAGGCATTCACAGACACTCCTAGTTTACACATGATAGCTTGCTGATAAATTGCCTTACTAGTAAGAAGTTTCTGCCCTCTTTCAGCGTGTTAACATCTTGTAAGTCACCAGCTAGCTATCCTCTGAAGGTCACAAGCCCTATTTGTAGTGCACAGCGCCTACTGCTGCGACTATGCTGCTACCTGCCCCTCGAGCAGGGCCTATGATCGGCACCTAACGTTGGCCCATTTCCTTGAAACTGTAGCTTATATATATCGAAATACAGTTATTCTTAAGTTTCTAAAATCTGTTGTGGTTCGATTCGCCCTACTCGGGGTGCTCGCTTCCTAGGCGCTCTGGGGAGGATGTAGTGAACAGCCGTCCAGCACTGTTACTACGTATGGTCCCAAGACAAGCCCGACTTAGGTGAGCGCTCGGCTCTGTCAGTCGAAGGTACCTGATTAATAACTAACAGCTGTCTGAAACCTTAATCGACCTTCTTCGATGGAGTTCATATCATTTCAAGGTGAGGAAAATCCCAGAATAATAGAACTGAGAGCTGACCCTCACTGAGGGTCAGCGTCCGAGTCGCGTCACAGCACCAGCCTCGCGCGCTGCCCCGCTGAGGAGT